AAAAAGAGCAAATGGGAGAAGCAGATGAACACAAAACAGCAGAACAACATAAACGTTATCATTCAGCTGAACTGTGCTCGTATGTTCGCTCTAATATGTTCTTACTCTTAATCAAAATTATTGCTAGGGACAATTTAGTAGTGGCTGGATATTGGTAGAGACATGTCATAGCATTCCTACTAAATTCTACACCCTTGAGTTTGTTCATATAATTAAACTGGTTAAGAAAAAAAAAACAATTCACTGATACATTTGCATACCTGTGTGCTGTTTATAGTGAAATATTTTGTTATGATGTATAATGTATTCATTCGTGTCCCTATGTGGAAAGTTTATGTCTTTATAGCGAAATATTTTATTAAGTCTACGTTTCATAATTTTTGACTATGTTATATAAATTCAGGTGTTTTATATTTTTATTGGTTGTGGTTTGCATTAACGTTTCTATTCAAATGATGCTTTGTGCCAGATAAATACTGATATGATTGCATCGAGTAAATAAATGGTATGATATGATGATTCTAGCATCAGTGTAGTTGCGGTTGTAGTGTTGGCAGCATTAATGACAGTCGTGTGTGTGTGTTTGTGTGTGTGAGCGTGCGTGTGTGTGTGCGTGTGTGAGAGTGTGAGCGTGTGTGTGTGTGAGAGTGTGAGCGTGCGTGTGTGTCTGTGAGTTAGTGTGTGCGAGTGCGCAAGTGAGTGTGTGTGAGTATGAGAGTGTGTGCGAGTGTGAGACCGAGAGAGTGTGTACTGTTCATTCCTTCAATAATGATTGAATTGATAATGATAAGAAAGTGGGTTATTAATTGCCATGAAAATAATGTCAAAATGCAAAAAAATCTCAGAGATCCTAAAGAAGGCATCTTTTCTTTATACAAAATATAATTTAATTTACTTATTTTTGACCTGGACATGTTTTTGACAGGCTTTGTGAGAATCATTCCCCTTTCATTCTAGTTTGAGAGTTATTATAAGAAGAGTCTGTGGGATTTCTTCATTGTTCAGGTGCTGTCCAAAGGTCTGGTGGATCTGCCGTGTTCGGATGAAGACTGGACCCCAGACACGGTTTGGGACCCAGGACGGGATCTGTTCCTCTGGGCCGTCGTACAGAATAACACAGAACTGGCAGAGATCGGCTGGGAGCAGGTACTGCATCAGTCATGAACGCTTCATTTATCATTAACAATAAATCGAAATGGTTCCAGCGTAAAATGACTCGCTCAATTGAATTGGTTTGTCTTTTCCTCCTTTTGTGTCTTCAGTCATGTTTGCACAACTCTGTCAGTACTACTACTGGCTGAGCTCGCTAGTTTTATGACAAAAAAGTATAATGTTTACAAATAAAATATCCATATTCCCATTCCAAAGATAACATCCAACACAAATCTTCGAGCATATTCAGGTGAGGTAACCGGTTTACTGCTAACTAGTGAAAACACTCCATTAATAAGATGAGCTGCAGCTCAAAATACATGTTAGATGGAAACATTGTGCATTATGATTATGAGTTTGTAGCTTAATTCACTATATTTGCAATAGTTTGAGCTGCAGTTCAATGGGAAATCAGTTGAGAGCATCCAGTCATCTCATACTGGTGAATTATAGTATTCTTTATTTTTACATAATTACTATATAAATATAAGTGTATCAATATAATTATTAGAATTGTATTAGTCTATATAGAGTGATAGTCAATGTAAAAAGAGCAAATGGGAGAAGCAGATGAACACAAAACAGCAGAACAACATAAACGTTATCATTCAGCTGAACTGTGCTCGTATGTTCGCTCTAATATGTTCTTACTCTTAATCAAAATTATTGCTAGGGACAATTTAGTAGTGGCTGGATATTGGTAGAGACATGTCATAGCATTCCTACTAAATTCTACACCCTTGAGTTTGTTCATATAATTAAACTGGTTAAGAAAAAAAAACAATTCACTGATACATTTGCATACCTGTGTGCTGTTTATAGTGAAATATTTTGTTATGATGTATAATGTATTCATTCGTGTCCCTATGTGGAAAGTTTATGTCTTTATAGCGAAATATTTTATTAAGTCTACGTTTCATAATTTTTGACTATGTTATATAAATTCAGGTGTTTTATATTTTTATTGGTTGTGGTTTGCATTAACGTTTCTATTCAAATGATGCTTTGTGCCAGATAAATACTGATATGATTGCATCGAGTAAATAAATGGTATGATATGATGATTCTAGCATCAGTGTAGTTGCGGTTGTAGTGTTGGCAGCATTAATGACAGTCGTGTGTGTGTGTTTGTGTGTGTGTATGTGTGTGTGAGCGTGCGTGTGTGTGTGTGTGTGTGTGTGTGTGTGTGTGTGTGTGTGTGTGTGTGTGTGTGTGTGTGAGAGTGAGAGAGAG